CAAGGCCGCATGGTTCTCCCTCTCTCAGGGCTGTGGGAAGGGAGAGTCCCCACTCTGTCCAGGCCACGTGGTTCTTTCTCAATGGCTGCCATGTCTGGGTTTAAATCCCCCGTGCCAATCTTCTTCTGCAACCCTATTTCCAACTCCTCCTACACTTGGGCACACTTGCCCTCAATCTGCTGTCTTCTCTAGCTTTTCTGGTCACCATCATGGGTCTAGGCAGGTGTCACCCCATGTCATGGAGCCAATCTTCTCCCAGCTCCCACGCAGGCACTGTAACTCGAGGGACCTGCCCCCCAGGTCCCATCTTGGGGGGGAGGTCCCTTTCCATCCCCCTGGCCTTGAGCATGGCCATAGCTATTTAGCATATCTAAGTGACCAGCCAAAGGCTATAGGTATGCTAAATGACCATGCCATGGATTAGCTGCAAAGCTGCCCTGCATGTTCTTGCTCTGTGTGCCCCTTCCCGCAACTCACACCTGTGGGGGAAGGGGTGAAGACACCTTAAAATCTCCTGGACACCTTGAGTTCTGGACCCCATTTCAAATGCCCATTTGGGGTCCCCCCACTTGGCTACACCCTGTAACAGAACCACGCACTTTTGGCAGAGTTGGGGGACCCCACTCCACTCCCGCAGCCATGAGAAGAACCACCACGTGGCTTTAGCTAGAGATCCTGGCAACACAGCTGATGGTGCTGGGAACCAAGGAAGGCCTACCAGCTGAGCACAGATTACTGGGAAGAACCGGGAGCTGCCTGAGCCATGGACTTATATTTCTTTCCCTGAGATATGGTACCCCAGACTGGGCAAAGGGGGAAGGAAAGACTGTGTGTGTTTGTGGGTGTTTTAAGGGACTCTGGGATTTGGATGAAGACATTAAGTCATTACTCTTAAGTTTGTATAACTTGAATAAATAATTCCTTTTCTTTTCACCAATCTCTAACATGGAGAGCTATAATTCTCTGGCGTAGGGAAAGGCGAACCTAGTACAGGGGGACCCCAGGAGAAACGGGGGTCAATTCAGTAGCATTGTGGGACCCTCTTCCCTGGTGGCCAATAGAGGGGGATCATGGGAGACCACATGCGCAGTAGCTTTAAAGTAATACAACTACTTGTACATGTGCAGTAAAGCCCACCAAAACTAGCCAGAAAGGATCCGCCCTATAAGAATAGAGTCCCTCCAGCCTATGAGGTCAATCTCTGCTTGGAGTTGGCCTGCTCCCATGTTCTCTGCTATAAACTCTGGGTGTTCGGTTCAATTTTTTGTCCTGATCACTAAGAATCTGGTTACCTGTGCCCACCTGTGACACACCCTGTTATAATACTGCTCAAATAATTTATTTTATTTTATGGATTGTACCTAAGCATTTGTCTTCATTCTTTAAGAAATATGGGTTTAACTATGCACCCTCAATGAGGCTCCTTGGCCTCTCATTCTTTTCCCCATTTAGTGTTTAAAAATAAGAAGTCAACTCTTGGGGCTAATCATCATCATCTAGGAGAAATGCTCACTATTTTAAGACCACCACTATGACTACTCATCACTGTATAGACCATTATGAAGACTAACTGAGATTTATCTATAATATAAAAATGGCAGTAACTGTGGTAATTTTGTGCCTGGAAAGTGAAACCAAACTGACAGCTTGCTTAAATATATTGTCTGGGGAAGGTTGTTAATTTGTCATGGAGAAATGAAACCAAACAAGAAACAGTCAACGAGCTGTTTTATCTTTTTTTTTTTATGGCAGTGAATTGATTTATTAATTGAGAAATGAAACCAAATAAACAAAAAAAAAATGAACTGTCAACCAGTTACCTTAATTTTTTTTTGTTTTACCACACAATTGCCTTATATCCAATGAGTTATGCAGGGATAATGTTGGCAGCAAAAATGTTACAGCAAAAGTATCTAGAACAGATTTTTTTGTGTGTCACTATGGATTAGATAGTCAAGGAAATTCTTAGAGGAGAAGGCAGTTCAGCTGAGATGTGTATAAGGAAGCAGGCATGTAAAGATATGAAAAAAGAATATTGTAGGCAGAAAGGATAATTAGTGAAAATTCCAAAAGTTGGGATGTTTGAAGTAGTCAAGGATATGCTAAGTGACACATAAGGGAGAAGTGACAGGACTCCAGTCTATAAAGCCTTGCAGGCCTCGGTGAAGAGTCTTAATTTTACTCAATGCCCCTTGAAAAGCCTTTGGAGGATTTCATGACTAACATGGTGTGTATTAAAAGATCACTGTGGCTACCCTGTGGAAAATTCATTGTGGGGGGGTGAGGGTAAGAAATACAAATTAGGAGATAGTTAATGACCACTGTGACTCATACTGATAATAGTGCAAGATAGGAGTAGATTCAGATATATTTTAGAGATAATCAGACTTGGTGATGGAAAATGTGAGGAAGTGAGAAAAAATCAAAATGACATAGGATTTTGGTGTGAGCAATTGGGAGGGTCATGTGACTACTAAAATGGGTACAGCTAGGGAAGAACAGTTTGTTTTTTACCTCAGTTAAAAAAGTACAGATTTTAGTTTTGGACAGTTCTACCAACTAGAGTTCAACATTTCTGTTAAGGACTATCGACATTCTGGTTGTGAAAAATATATGCAAACTTCCAGAACACACAGAGGAGCCAAAACACCTGGACCCACGTGCAGAGGTGCCTAAGCCTCCAGCTTTGGGAAGGTGATGGCGGGGAGGGGTGGGGCAGAGCGGGGGCAGGTCTCTGGTAGGACTTCAGTCTGTATCCTGGTTGTGAATATGACCTACAAGGCCAGGAGATTAGAGTACTATATTCGGATCCAGCTGGGGTGATAGGTGAGAGTTGGGTTGTAGGTAAGAGGAACATGGCCAGGGGCACTGGTCCAGATCCTGGTTGTGGGTAGGACCAATTCCTGGAGTTGTGGGTTGGATCCATCCCCTACTCACATGCACAGAGCTGCAACAACATTGCCCCATTCCTCTGAACCAGAACATCCACAAACACACCATTCGTGCCCAGGTAACACAAGTAGAAGTTGCCACAGCATCAGGCCCAAGCTGAGGCCGAGGGTTTGGGGTATGAAGATCTCCAGGTGGCATGGTGCCATGAAGCTCAAGTGGCCACTGCTCACGTCCACCAAGCCCTGCATAAGGGGTAGAGGATAGTCACTAGGTACTTCTTCATCAGGTACTCCAACTTCAGGCACACTGTACCAGAGGCCCACTGGTGCCAGGAACCCTGTACCTGCCATGGTGGTGAGGCCCAGTGAGGCCCTTGACAAGCCACAGCCCAGAAGACCAGATACTGATGTAGATTAGTGGGAGGAAGAGTTGTGCTGAGGCCTATTAAATTTTAATTTAACCTTTTATTTATTTTTTATATATTTTATTGATTATACTATTACAGTTGTCCCATTTTTTTCTCCCCTTGATTCCCCTCTGCCCAGTACCCCCCACCAGCATTCCCCACCTTAGTCCATGTCCAAGGGTATTACATATAAATTCTTCAGCTTCTCCATTGCCCATACAATTGTTAACCTCCCCCTGTATATTTTGTACCTACCATTTATGCTTCTTATTCTGTGTACCTTTTCCCCATTCTCCCCCCTTCCCCTCCCCACTGATAACCCTCCATGTGATCTCTATCTCTGTGAATCACAGAAATAGTTCCTGTTCTAGTTGTTTGCTTAGTTTTTGTTTTTTTAAGTTCAGTTGTTTATAGTTGTGAGTTTGTAAATTTGGCGTTTTAGACATCCAAGTGTAGATCTCATGTGGAAGGTTAGAACCTGGAGTTAAGGAGAAAGGAAATATGTATTTGCAAATCCCTAGAGTGTGTTATGGTTGTGCGTATATATGCTATTTTTTTTTCCAGTAATGTTCAATCACTTGGTTTAGAAGAAGAAATGACATAGGATTGATATGACTATGGAAAAATTTGAAATACAAAGTATACTGTGGCTGAGAGGAAAAAAGAAGAATGGTTGCAGGGATGTCCAACCAGGGGCTTGTGGGCCACATGGAGCCCAGGTCCACTATGAATGCAGGTCAACACAAAAATCATAAGTTTACTTAAAACATTATGAGATTTTTTATGTGATTAAGTGTTGCAATGTCACCTAATCACAGAATCACAATGGCCCAAGACATCTCTTCTTCTTCCAGTTTGGCCCAGAGATGACAAAAGTTTGGACAACCCTGGAAAGGATGGTGATCTTAATAAAGTAGGTGTGTTGGAAAAGGAAGAGCAGAAAGAATTAGGAGATGTTTTAAGGTGTGGCTATTAAGATATTAGTATTTCAAAAGCAGAGTGGTCCAAGATAGTGAAATGGCCCTGATTATGGTTATTGAGCATGAAATGAGACTGACATCATTGGTACTGTAGAGATTTAAAAATGTCATGTTAGGATGTTTGGTAAATTGTACTTAATGTGTGTTCAAGTTGACAGGATAATAGCACATCATGGGATGGAGAGGACAACTCAGCAATACAATGAGATGACAGTGACATGGAAAGATTAAGCAGCTGGATAGGTTGAGCTTGAATGAGTTGTGGGCAGGAGGGGAACGATTTGGAAGGAAGTAGCAAAGTAGATGATAGAGGAAAGTATTTCTATCAAAACTTGATTTAGAGCCCTGGCTGGTGTGGCTCAGTGGCTTGAGTGCCAGCCTGCGAACCGAAAGGTCACTGGTTTGATTTCTTGTCAGGACACATGCCTGGGTTGCAGGCCAAGTCCCCTGCTGGGGGCATGTGAGAGGCAACCAATTGATATTTCCTTCGCACGTCTGTGTTTCTCTCCTCTTTCTTCTTTCCTTCTCCTTTCTCTAGAAATGAATAAATAGAATCTGAAAAATACAAAAACGAAAAATACTTGATTTAGATCCCTCAGATCCCTGAACTGTACACTTCTATAGCCTTCTTACCTTTACAAGTGCTACCAAACATCACCTTCCTTCCAGGGCATTTGTGTAGATGATCGTCAGTTAAGGAGGATTGTGCTTTATTGTTTTAGGAACCAGTAACATTTGAGGACTTCTCTGTGGACTTCACTGGAGGGGAGTGGAGTCACCTAGCTGTTACTCAGCTACCGAGGCAACTGCACGGAGCTGGGATGCTGGAGAGCTACTGCCAGTTGGTCTCCGTGGGTAAGAACATGAGTTTGGACACCTGCTTCTATTTTTTTAATTGACTATGTTATTATAGTTGTCCCAGTTTTCCCCCCTTACCCTCTCCACCCACCACCTCCCACTTCCTCTGGTGATCCCCCTCCTTTATTCTTGTCCATGGGTTCATGCATATAAGTTCTTTGGCAACTCCATTTCCCATACTTGCTCTTAACATCCTTTCCCTATTCTATAACTGTATTTCTTAATCCCTTCACCTTTTCTCCCATTCTCCCATCCCCACGGGCCAATATTCCAATGTTCTCCATATCTATGATTCTGTTTCTGTTCTTATTTGCTTAGTCTGTTTTTAAGATTCAGTTGTTGATATGTATGTGTTTATTGCCATTTTATTGTTTATAGTTTTGATCTTCTTTTTCTTAAATAAGTCCTTTCAATATTTCATATAATAATGGTTTGGTGAGGATGAACTCCTTTAGTTTTACTTTGTCAGGGAAACACTTTATCTACCATTCAATTTCTAAATTATAGCTTTGCTGGATAGAATAATCTAGGTTATAGGTACTTGCTTTTCATTACTTTGAATACTTCTTGCCAATCCCTTCTAGTGTGAAAAGTGTTTTTGAGAAATCAGCTGACAATCTTATGGGAACTCCTTTGTAGGTAATTATCTGGTTTTCTCTTGCTGCTTTTAAGTTTCTCTTTATTTTTAGACTTTGGCATTTTAATTATGATGTTTCTTGATGCCATCCCCTTTATCAGTTTTGTCTGGAACTCTGCTTCCTGGATTTGTATGTGTATTTCTTTCACCAAATCAGAGAAGTTTTCTTTTATTATTTTTTCAAATAGGTTTCCAATTTCTTGCTCTTTCTCTTCTTCTGGCACCCCTATGATGTGCATGTTGGAACATTTGAATTTGACCCAGAAGCTTCTTACACTGTCCTCGATTTTTTGGATTCTTTTTTCTTCTTACTGTACTGATTGGATGTCGTTTGCTTCCTTATATTCCAAATTATTGATTTGATTCTTGGCTTCATCTACTCCACTGTTGATTCTCTATAAATTGTTCTGTATTTCAATCAGTATATCCTACATTTCTTCCTGGATCTTTTTTATGCTGTTGAAGTACCCACCATGTTCTTTGAGCATCCTTATGTTATAACATCCTTATGTTATAAGGATGCTCAAAGAACATGGTGGGTACTGCATCATGTTCTGCATCTGATAGATTGATTATCTCCATTTTTTTTAGTCCTTTTTCTGGAGTTTTGTTCTGTTCTTTCATTTTGGCCATACTTCTTTGTCTCCTCATTTTGGCAGCCTCCCTGTATTTTTTTATTTTTATTTTTTTTCTGTGTATTAGGTAGAGCTGCTTTGACTCTGTGTCTTGGTAGCATGGCCTAATGTAATAGATGTTCTGTAGGGTCTGTTGGCACAGCCTCCTCTGTCTCCCAAGCTGTATACTTAAGGTATTCCCTCCATGTGGGGTGAGTACTCCCTCCTCTTATAAATAAGTCTTGATTACTATAAGCAGGTCAATGGGAGGGATCCATCCAGTCCAGACAGCTGGTAGGACTGACTGTGACCCCTGGCCAACAACCACTTCCCTCAGTGGCTTATGGAGGTAGTTGGATGTTGCTCCACTGTGCTCTCTAACTGTCCTTTGGATGCGCAGGCCAAGGTCAGTGTCCACCTGTGTTCTGTCTGGGGTCCCCTTGACATAAGCTATAAAGCAATCTGCAAATGGCTGCCGCTATTGCCAGGCCAGGGGCCACTCAGTGAGAGGTATGGGGGACTGGGCTCAGCTGTTGTGTGTTTGAGTGGATTTAAGGTCTGAGGCCTACATCTAGCCCAAACCTTCATATGGAAAAGCCACTGTTACCAGCTTGGGTTGGGCTGTAAGTTTGATGAGGCAGGCCCTTAGGTAATCATCAGGGCAGGGCTTACTGTTTGAGGTGGATAGAAATTCAGATATACTGCCGCTACACTGTTGCTCTGTGTGGGGAGGGCTCAGAAAAGAAACAGTGGCTGCTGTCTGCAGTTTTATCTGAGAGGAAGCTGTCCCCCAACTCTTGCCCTGATGCCAGACACTTCAGTTCTTCCCCATATGCCTCTAGTGCCCTTCAAGGTGCTGCCCCAGTGCTGGAGCTCAGAGGGAGTGAGTCTGAGTAAGTCTCTGTGTGGTGCAAGACCGTTTAAGGGAAGAGGCCTGAGAATCCTGCAGTTTCTTCTGTCAGCCCAACTCCCACTAGTTTTTACAGCCAGAAGTTATGGGATCTTATCTTCCTAGCACTGAAACCCTGGGCTGGGTGGTCTGGTATGGAGCTGGGATCCCTCACTGCTGAAATATCCCCCCATTTTATATCCACTACATGTGGGTTTGGGACCAGCTGGTTTCTTGTCTCCACTTCATCCCTCCTGCCTATCTGGATGAATGTGGTTTCTTTAATTCCTCAGTTGTCAAGACTTCCATACTGACGATTATTAGAAGAAAATCAGACTTCTGATTTTCTGACACTTCTGAGTGATATCTGTTCTGTAGTTTAGGTATAATTTTTCTGTGGTATGAGGAGGTGAACCATTTACCTATGCCTCCATCTTGACCAGAAGTCCCATTGGAGGCTTTATTTCTTCAATTTTAAATAGGAGTTATGGTTCAGGTAAGAGTTTCCTAATTTCTTTTTGGTACAAAAAGATGTTTTTGATTATTTTAAACAACTAAAGAAATTTACTTGGTAAGAGTTGGAGAATGGTAGCTTTAGTAAGTTGTATAAGAACCATACCTGATCCATCCCTGATAAACCATAATTTGGAACTGATTTTATTTTCTGCACAGTTGCCTAATCCCTGTGTGTTTCCCAGATATGATCTCTCAGTTGCAACAAGTTGAAGATAATTATACAGTAAAGAACAAACTCTGAAGAAATCGGTGAAGCACCATGGCAAGTCACACCCAGGGTAATCCATTAAGAAGAGCCCCTATTTAAATGTTTCAGGAGTTCTCTTTGAATTTTGCTGGTCAGTGGAGAAAGCTGAGACTTCAAGGATACTTTCCTCAAACTGATCTACCTGTATCTATTCACTTATTCTCCCTTCTACCTTTTCAGAAAGTTTTGGTCTTTCTTTTTTTTTTTTTTTTTTGTCTTTTAGAGAGAAGGAAAGGAAGGGAGAAAGAGGGAGAGAAACATTGAGATGTGGGAGAAACATGGATCAGTTGCCTCTTCCATGCCCCCACCTGGGGACTTGGCTCACAATCCAGGCATGTGCCCTGACTGGGAATTGGTCTCAGGACCTTTCAGATCACAGACTGGTGCTCAATCCACTGAGCCACACCACCCAGGGCAAAAGTTGTGGTCTTTCTTATTCACACTGACTTTATCTGTACTTTTATCTTCTCTCACATTTTCCCCACATTGGTCTGGTACCATCTTTGCTTGAACTTTATTTTCATTAAAAATCCCTCTGCTTTACAATACCTAGTTTCCTTTTCTTTTTTTCTTACATATTCAGAGATTCATCCCTCTTCCCTTCTGAATATAAGATAACATTGTAGTAAGACAAAATCTCATATCCTAGAGATAGATAGAGGTTTAATTGATAAAGTTTTCCTTAAAAATATTTTGACTGCTTGAAGCAAAGATCCTTAAACATTTTTAAAATATTTTAAAGATTTTATGTTATTATTTATTTTTTAGAGAGAGAGAAGAGGAGGGAGAAAGAGAGAGAAAGAAATATCAATGTGTGGTTGCCTCTCACATGCCCCCTACTGGGAACCTGGCCTGTAACCCAGTCATATGCCCTGACTGGGAATTGAACCATCAACCCTTTGGTTTGTAGGCCCACACTCAATCTACTGAGCTACACCAGACAGGGCACATTTTTGATGAAATAATTCATTTTCAGGTATCTGTCATAAGAAATTAACCAGTAACTCCAACTGAAAATTGTGAACAGTCATTATAATATTTCAATAATAAATATATTGAAAAATTACTTATAAGATATACTATAGGGGCTTAGTCATACAAATTATAGTGAATCATACAAGAGAAAAAGATGTGTTCATTAAAAAATATACTAAGGACTTTTTAAATTTTTATTAACTTTATCAGGGTAACATTGGTTAATAAAATTGTATATCTCAGGTATACAATTCTATAACATACCATCTGAATATTGTGTTGTGTGTTCATCACAACAAGTCTCCTTCCATCACATTTATCCCCTTTCACTCATTTCTACTTCTCCTAATCTGCCTTTTCCTCTGGTAATCACAATATTGTTGTCTCTTTCTATGAGCTTTGGGTTTTTTTTTCTTACTCCATTCATCTTTTTAACCCAGCCCCTTAATCTCCTCCTTTCTGACAGCTGTCAATATGTTCTCTCTGTCTATGAGTCTGTTTGAGTCTGTTTCTATTTTGTTTGTTAGTTTATTTTGTTCATTAATTCCACATGTAACTGAAATCATATGGTATTTGTCTTTCTCTGACTGGCTTATTTCACTAAGCGTAATACTCTCCCAGTCTATCCATGCTGTCACAAAAGGTAAAATTTCCTTCTTTTTTCTGTGGAGTAGTATTTCATTGCATAAGTGTACCACAAGTTTTTTATTTACGCATCAACAAATGTACACTAGGCCTGCTTCCAAATCTTGGCAATAATAAATAACACAACAGTGAACATAGGGGTGCATATATTCTTTAGAATTACTATCTTGGGTTTCTTTGGATATATTCCTAGAAGTAGAATCTCTGGGGTCATAAGGCAGTTCCATTTTAATTTTTGGAGGTAACTCCATACTGCTTTCCACAGTAGCTTCACTAGTCATTCCTACCAGTAGACCCTACAAGGGTTCCTTTTTCTCCACATCCTAGGTAGCACTTACTGTTTGTTGATTTATTGATGGTAGCTATTCTAACCAGGTGTAAGGCATTATTTTAATGGGGTTTGAATTTGCAAACTTTGATGATTAGTGACGTTGTGCTTTTTCATGTCTATTGGCCATCTGTATGTCCTCTTTG